TTTGGAGCCGCCTAGGATCTAGTCAGCGCCGCGTGTTTAAATAGATAAATAGGATATTTTCTGATTTAAATAAATAACCCTAACTTTAAAAATTCATATCTTGGTGTAGAAAAATCACAATAATAAAATAAAAAAATCCTCTTGCTTAGTGGACAGAGGAGAATAATATGGAAATAGTTTCAAGTTTGTTTGATGCATATTTTATTTTTAATTAATTAAATATGGTTTTGAGTCTTTTAATTCTCCATGCATGTAGACATCTCACCATGACTTAAAATTTTTTCAAAGTCAGAGGATATCTCCAGACAGAGATCCATATTTTCCATGTTTGTGTCTATTATTTGCATGAATTAATCATAATAATTAGCATGTTGCTTATAAAAATCTAAGAATGCTTATAAAAAGTTGCTTATAAAAATCTAAGAAAATTTTGGAAGGTTTGCTATGATCAGAGAACTCTTTGGAAAATATTTCATGGGTTAAGTCATTAAGGATGCACTTAATTTCCACAAACCCTAAAACACAAACAAAATTAATTTTGGGAAACATAAACATCTAAGTGACTTAATTTTTAATCTCCACTGTGATTCAAAGTTTAGAGAACATCCCATAAAAATTTCAAAATATTTGGAGCTCGTTTAATAACTCAAATTGATTTTTCAAGTTAAATGTCATTTTTAACACAAATGATTTTTAATAATTAATATAACTCAAAAAATTATAAAAATTGGTTTTTGAAGTTCTCTGTGATAAGAGGAATTTTTTAAAAATAAAATGGTAATTAAAATAAAAACTTCATTTTAGCCTCTTTTTAATATTTAAATAATTAAAAAAATTGATAAAACTCACAAAAATAATAAAATTCATGGAAATGCTCTAAATTATTTCCTAAGCACTTACGAACAATTAGAATTTTTTTTCTAATTTTCTAGGAATAATTAGAATTTTTTTTCTGATTTTCTAAGTGAAGATATTGAATTTTAAAGCTTAAAAATATTTTTTAAAGGCTAAAAATGGATTTTTCACTAAAATAATTCTAAAAATTTAAAGAAAAATATGAAATTTGTTTCTCTGGGTTCCTTGACATCAGAGAGATTTAATAAAAATATAAAAATTAATTTTCCACATTTAAAATATTTTATAAGTAATAAATAGTCTAGAACTAAAAATAATTCTTAAAATTCAAATATAATTCAATAAATCATGAAATTTGGCCCCAATGCTTCTCTGGTCTAAGTCTACCTCCAATAAAAATTTCAAGGGATTAGACTTTGTCTTGGTTAAGTTATGAAATTTTCTTTGAAAAATCCTATTTTTGCATTAAAATAAATATTTAAATTAAATTAAATTTTAGAAAATCACATCTTCTCCTCTGATGTCTTAATTGACCCATGAGTGAGGTGGGATGAAAATTCTAAAGTCATTTGAATTAAATTTGACAAATTATGAAGTGCTAGAGCCTTAGGGGAAAAAATGTAATTTGGAAATTTGGCCTTAATTAACATTTAGGCTTAATTCAAGGAGGGAAAAGGGTAACCTCTGATTTTAACTAACTTATTTGGATGATTGAAAGACAAGGGGATTAATTAGTAGAAACCAACTTCACTCTTTCATAATCAAAGGATAAGGTTGTAATTTTCTTAAATTATTACAATTTAGAAGTCTATTAAATTAAATGATCCTAGACTTAAGGGTATGACTTTGGAAGTTGATAACTCACTTATTTAATACCCCTATTTAATGATTCAAACGACTCTTAAAATTTTGATAATGAATCATCATGACCTAAAAATTCAATCTCTTTCAAAATATAACTAAGACATCTATCAAAAGTCTAAAGGGCAGGGCTTAGTAGTGACCTAAGACCTAAGATAAATCAAATCTGATTAAATGAGGATTAGAAAAGTAAACATAATTAAAAAAATTGAACACCTTTAAACACTACAAGCCCAAATTAAAAAGTTGGCTAAGTGCCTTGACAATATTAACTTGCCCCTTTAAATGTCTTCACCCACATAATTCTCAAATTAAATTATAAGTGATAATTACCCTACTCATAGGGACATCAATGTTTCTTGAGCATTAAAGGTGTTTGCAGGATGCGTTATTAAGCAACTCAATAAGTTTAAATGAGCTCGAGACTTTTCACCAGGTAGTGAGAGGGAAACATGAATTTGCTTTTTTCTTCTAGACTTGCTGGATACCTCGGAGGTCTACTAGGTCTACTAAACTTAATACATAAACTTAATACATTTTGCTTAACAAAATCATCCTTAATCAAACTAATAGGGACCCACCAAGATATGACCTAGGTTTAAATAGGTCACCAAAACCTTACTTTTCCTCTTTACATAAAATGCTATAACATGCATTTTGAGTTTCAGGGAATTCCTCTGGGTCTATGACATCCCCTAGATCTTCCTCCTTTGGACTCTACAATAAATGTTCCAAATTAAATGTTCCAAATAAATGTTCCAAATTTGAACCATTCCCATTTCACACATCTTTGTCCGATATTATTGAAAAATCCCGTCCTTTGAAATCCTTGAAGATAACATTTCCTGATTTTTATCGAGAGTTTTCTTAGATGACTTCAGTCATTTATGATGTAATTAACTATACGGGCTTGCCCTTATAGGAAGCTTGTCTGAATCCAGCCTAATATAAACCCTATTTAATTCTTCATATTAAATAGAAGAAATTGTCGGCAAATAAAATGGTTTCGCAAGCCAAATGGACGTCATACATTTCTTAGTTTATTTGATTGAGCCTCATCCTCAAGTGTTGTGCTTATCCTTCGGGATAGATACAGGGTTCGAGGTATAGTGCTTTTACATTTAAATTATGAAAAATATGGGGTCAGTTTGATTTCATATTTTTCTAAACTATACATATATGTGTAAATTAAAATGTCTTTCCGAAGCGGACGACGGGATTTTGATTCCGGTGACCGACAGCTTCTTACGGGCAACTCCTTCAACCAAAATATTGCCGACAAGAGATCTCTGAAAAAAGTAGATAAAGTAATTTTTAGAAGCCATTTATCTCTCTTAAATCTGCTAGAGTAGCTACTCATGTTTAGAAGCCATTTATCTCTCTTAAATCTGCTAGAGTAGCTACTCTTAACTCTTGAAGAAATGTTTAGGAGGTGCTGGATGCTTTTCATTTTTACCTTAATGAAATTGGAACATTTAAATGGAATCTTCTATTAAAACTCCATAGGGTATTTAGCCTTGAACTTCTTAATAATTTTACAAGCTAAAGAAAAATTATTAGAACAACTAGTCTTCCAAATCCATTTAGCAATTAATTAGAGATATGTTGAAAAATACAAGACTAAACACACCGAGTCTCCAATATTTCTTTGGCCTGCAAATTTTGCTCTATTTTAGAAGATGAATTAATCCCCCTATCATTATTGTATCATTTCAGAAGAAAGGTTTCTCGTCCAATCAATTTCTCTAATAACAGATGAAAGAATTGTTTATTGAGAAGTAAAAGAAATAATGAAGAAGTATTGCAATTATAATAAAATTGATAAGTGTCTGTCTTTTTCCATTAGAAAGGAATCTACCCTTCCAACATTCATAAAGATTTTGGATATATTAGGAGCAAGAGGAATTTGTTGATGCTTAAGGTTAGGATTCCATGTCATAATATTCTTCAATGTTGGCAATGTTGTTAGCTTGATCTTAAGTATTCTCAAAATGGACAAGGGAAGGCTCTGAGAAATTAATCTCTAGGCTAGTTCACCAAAAAGATGAAGAACATGTTTAAATAAATAGCTTGTGCATCAATTACCACAGAAGTATCAACAAGCAACTGAATACTATGGATGGGTATATGGTCTTTGTGAATACAACATGCATCAATCCAATAATTAAAGTAGCAACCTTTTGCCTTATATTGGACATTTTGTTTTCTTTTCTATCTAAAATTTTCATAATGTCATTCTGGCTTCCAAGTTTTCTTATATGGACACACCATATCCTTCTCTTGACATGCTACGTATATTTTTTTCTTGATTTAATTGTTAATTCAAAATTTTATGTTACAACGTTTTACTATTGGAGCATTTAAATACCACTTAATTTTTATGTATTTACATATCTAACATTTAAACTTTACTTTTTTTACTTTTACACCACCCAAATCTTTCGTATCACATTAAAACTACCACTATTTTAACTTTTAAAAAGTGAAATACAACTTTTCATGCATAAAGAAGGTGGCATGTATAATGAAATTGAATTTTAGGTGTTAGATATGTAATTACATAGGAATTCAGTGGTATGTATGTAAATCTTCCTTTATTATTTTTACAATTCTGAGGGACTAATGGAATCAATTTTGTATTGCAATTTTTTTACAAGGGCTTAATTTGAATCAATTTTGTATAGTCAAGGGACTAGATTGAAAAAATGTGATACTTTTTAATTAAATTGGCCTTACATGAATAATTAGAGGACTATTTTAGGATTTAATCTCATCAACTTATATAACCGTACACTTTAATTGCTATTTTTGCTTTATGAATATGAAGGTCTTTTCACAATCAGTCACATGCAATATGAATCTTAAACTAGCTCCACCAGTCACGCTAATCACATCAAAATTTTCCTGGTGACTATTAGAGAACAATGGTAGCTAGGTGAAATAAACATTATAATTCTTTGGGCATCAATGTTGTATTCTTCATGATATCACATGCTGTTGCTCTGGTTGCATACTACTTTTTTACATTTTTTTCTGCGTCTTTCATTGTGATCTTATAACATATTTATCATATATGAAACTAGTTCTGTTTGCATCTTTAGTTCTCCTCGCTAGTTCATCCCTGCAAAATTGCACTTGCATTATATTATTGCCAGGTTCTCTTTGCTGCATTTAGGATTATGATTGGTGTTTTTCTTCTTTAATATATCACCCTTTAGGGGATATTTTGGTTTTTTATTGTTGTTCTACTTTATGTGATCTGATTCTTACATGTTTATATCTAGGTTCTCTTTCGTGAAGATGCTACTGTGGATGATCTTATTGATGTAATTGAGGGTAATCGAAAATACATGAAGTGTGTTTATGTCTATAACAAGATTGATGTCATCGGTATAGATGATGTCGATAGACTGGCTCGTCAACCAAATTCAGTGGTCATCAGCTGTAATTTGAAGGTCCTTTCTCTCTCTTTTTTTTTTCTCTCTCGCTCTCTCACTAGGACAAACACCTGACTCCAACGTGCACACGCTAACTTCTCCTCCACTTCTATATGTCTTAAGTATCTTTGATGTGTACTTAACTCTGCTTTGCTTTGTTTTTTAGTGCACTGTAACAAAATTCTAAGATAAGGCAGGTTATCTCTGATTAAGTTCTTGTGAATATCGTGTTTACTATTTCCCTGCAGCTGAATTTAGATAGATTTCTCGCAAGGATGTGGGAGGAAATGGGGCTTGTGAGAATTTATACAAAACCACAAGGCCAGCAACCAGATTTTTCAGATCCCGTTGTTCTCTCTACTGTAAGTTGCATCAATTCCTATCTTTTGCTGTTTATGATGTCTCAACTTAAACATTGATACTGATATTCACCTATATACTCTCTCTCTCTCTCTCTCTCTCTCTCTCTCTCTCTCTCTCTCTCTCTCTCTCTCTCTCTCTCTCTCTCTCTCTCTCTCTCTCTCTCTCTCTCTCTCTCTCTCAAATCCACCAGGATAGAGGTGGCTGCACTGTTGAAGATTTCTGTAACCACATTCACCGCAATTTGGTGAAAGATGTAAAATATGTGCTTGTCTGGGGATTAAGTTCAAGGCACTACCCACAGCATTGTGGGCTATCACATGTTCTCGAAGATGAGGATGTTGTTCAGATTGTAAAGAAAAAGGTTTTCTCTAGTATTCTTTTGGGGAAATTTACATACGTAGTACACAATTCTTATTTATTTACATTTCTCACGCCTGTAGTTTCATATTTACATACAAAGCTCTAAACATGTATATGAAAATGTGAATTTTTAGGTGTGAGGTATGCAAATACTTAGAATTGTCTGCTTCGTAGTCTCCATGGAATTTCATTTTCCATTATGTACCTCTGCATGTGTTTTTTTGCATCTGTATGTTTGCACATCTTTTGCTTGAGAGGGCTCAATCCAGAGTATTTGTTACTTTCAGGAGACGGAAGAAGGTGGAAGAGGCCGGTTTAAGTCGCATTCGAATGCTCCTGCTCGCATATCAGACAGAGAGAAGAAGGCTCCTTTAAAAACTTGATCATGGAAGACATTGGATTCTTCGCTCTCAGAGCCCCAATTATAAAATAGACACCGTATGCTTGAATCATGATATTTATTATGTGCTAAATTTTTCAGCCGACAGTTAAATATGGTGGACTTCTTGCTGGTTTTGCTGAAATTCAACACCAGTTTTGTATTTGTAGAGAGTGAAGATTGCCTCATGTCTTGTACCAGGCTAGGGGTTCTTTGATACTGAATATTTATCTGCCTTAGCCATATGTCAAATTTGGAATATTGTTGTTTTGGTGCTATTTAACTCAAATTAGTGTACTTATATGTAATCTTCTATATTTGATTTTTGAAAATGACTCCCTCTTCAAAGTGTTATTTACATTGAGAGTTTGTTGTGTGCTTGTTGTAAGGATCAGCTGCAGGAGCAGACTGTGTAGGTGGATTTAATGTCTTACATATTTTTATTTTTAATAGGTATAGATTAATATGTTCATGTTGTTTGATGCTTTCACAATGAATATTTAATTCATGTTTTTAGAAGGTTTAATTAATTTGTCACTATTTATTATTATTATTATTATTTTTATGGCTCTGCCACTTAGTTTTCAATGGTTTTAAATGCCTAAATAGAGCAGCCAGTTCCACAAAGTTTTATCATGAGCTTATGGCTAGTTTGGTTCAAATCCAAATTCTCTTTTGCATAGAATTTGTTGAAATCGACAGTCGAAACCGTTGGGCCTATATTGCTTTATGAAGTTTTGGTAGATGCTAATATTTAATCAGTTTTAATTTTTAAGTTTTGATAGGTTGATTATAAATAGAAGATTTAGATTAAAAATAAATAAAATTAAAATATCATATTCCAATATTTTGATTTAGAAATTCTCAAAAAAATTAAGTTTAAGATTTATTAAGTTAGAATATTATATGTTTATTTAATGAAAGAATTATTATTATGTTATAAGTATATCATTTAAGCTCAATTAAATTATTCTATTATTTATTGTATTACTTGACCATGGTACAATCTTGCTTGAATTGATGAATTTTGTACCTCTTTCGTATGCAATTTACGTTTTGATCTTCAATGTTTTGTTATTTTCAAATGATGAGCAAATGCACATCATGTACAAGAGCTCATATGGTGAGTAGAATTGAAAATCTTGCAAACATTTCACGAATTTGGTTAAAGCTAATATTTAGTTATATTTTATGATTTGATCAAATTTGGTTTATTTGGTTTAGTTTTAGTTTGGTTTATTTTAATTTTATTTTGTCAGATTTTAAATTAGGGTTTAGGTTAAGTACTATTCAAGCTATAATTTATTTGTTTTTAATTCAACAATCTAGTGATATTAGGATGCATATACTATGAGATTGGACATAAGATGAGGAAAATGCTGACTAAGAGAATGAGGTGAACAAGTGTATGACTTTAATTCAAAACAAACTTGACCAAAAATTAAAATATCTGGGTAATTTTACCATTTTATGCACTATATCGTACAAATTTATGAGAAATGCATTATGTGACATAGGAGCTAATATAAATTTAATGCATCTTTCAACATTTGAGAGAATGACTCTAGAGGTTCAACGTATCACGGTAACCCTTTAATTAGTTGATCACTCTTTAACATATCCTAGGAGAATTTTCATAATTAAGGTAGATAAATTTATATTTCATGTTGATCTTATATTTGGGATATGAAGTTGTTGAAATCTTAATAATTTTTAGGAAGACTCTTTAGAAAGAGGGAGAGCAAATATTGATTTACAAATAGGGGTGTTAAAGCACAAGATAAAAAAATCACTTTTAGAATTTATAATCCAATTAAACCTTTTATATATGTATCCTTCGAGAGATTGTTGTATAGTTAAGGTTAACAAATTACAAGAAATATTGAACATGGATTTAGTGAAAAATAAATATATTAATAAATATTCAAATTTGGGATTGAATTTTTATTATCTAAGAAAGTCTCTATGGTAAGAATATTGAAAGAATGATAGTAAAATATTACAAAGAGAATTTGATCTTGGAAACAAATTTTAGGCATGATTTGATATTGTATGACTGAGAATATTATATCAAGTGCATATTGTGAGGCAACCCAAGTGTTATGTTATTTTTTAATGAATTTGCTTTCGTGAAGGGATACATGAATGCCTTAGGTAGACTAAAAAAACTTAAGTTGTGTCATTTGTGCACTAAAAACCACCCCTGAGCGCTGCAACACTTCACTATAACTCCCTAACATTTCCACACTATGACTAGAACATTGGCGATCAACCCCTATTCTTATTATACTGCTTATTTGTTTATGGATGTTTATGTTATGTTATGTGAATCTTTGTTAATATTTCTATAAAATTTTGTGATGTGTTATTTATTTCTCTAGAGTGATCATGTTTTATGATTTTATTATTTCATGTGATTGTTTTGTGAGTTTATTTCTTGTTATTACTTCTTTTTTTTTAATATGGTTACTTGTTGATTTTCATATTCATGTGATTTTATACTATTTAATTTTTTTTGTTGTTATTTGGATGTGTAGTATAGAAAATAAGTTAAAGATGAAATATCAAAAAATTTGCGCCATAGAGTAATAACAACTATCTAAATTTTAGACTTTAAAATAAAAAGATAAACTTAACTAAACCACCTTGGTTTAGTAGTAGTAGAGAGCTTTGTATTTCAACAAACAGGTCCTAGATTCAAGGGCTTGTCTATATATGGTGCGTGCATTTGGGTGTGTGTGTGTAAGAAAATAAGATTCATTACAATTTAATAATATGTAAAAAAAAAGTTAAAAGTGGCACAAATAGTCATTAAAAGTTGAATTAAATATTAATTCCCTAATAACTAACCTCTTACTATAATTAATAAGTCTCATACAATGATTTTTAAACACTTAAACTAATTGACTACATAAAAAGTTTGATATTAATAATAATTTAATCCTAAGATGTTATTTATGCACATTAATTTATATATTTACTTTTTTGCTAAAAAGTAAAACTACAATCCCAAGTTAAGTTTTAATATGAATTTTAAGACATCCGACTTTAGGCATTAAATTACTTGAGGACAAGTAATGTTTAGGTTTAGGAAAGTTTGATGTGTATAAAATTTGTTGTTATATTCATGTATTTTTTATACCATCTATGAATCATTTTTATACTTTTCTGAGATATATGAAGTGTTATTTGTGGTATATAAGAAAAATTCAGAACTTGAATAACACTTGGAGCTTGAAATGGCTAAATCAATAAGCAAGTGCCTCGACGCCCATGGCTAGCACCCAAACACTTGCAGTTGGTTCTATACATGTAAAATACAAACAAGAGGATATTCCAGGTCTCAGGGCAAGTGTCCCAACACCATAGGAATAACACCTTGATGCCACCCAAATGAATGCCTCAATACCCAATGAAGTGAATTCCAATAAAAAAGACAGAGCATATGACATTCTAGAGCCAAGTCCCAAGCAACCCATCACCTAGTACCGACACTCTCTCTACAAGTGCCAATGCTTCAACAATCGAAGTCCTAAATTAATGATTATGACTCATGAAATTCAGCGCCACATTCTGCTCCACCATGCCCCATGCCACCACCCCAACACTACTACACCAGCACCGTCGTGTATCCCAACGAAATAAGGTAGTTTTAGTGATTTCTTAGACAACTCGACTAAATAGGGGCTTAAAGTATCTTAGAAGCTCTTAGATACAGGGATACACATGGGGAATGCACAACACACTCATGGGAGGACTTTCTGAGGAAGAGGACAAAAACATGAAAGACGAGTTGTGGAGATAACTTGTTATAGTGTGAGAGTATTTATCTTTTCATATAGTGTGAGTGTGAGTGCAGGTTGTAATTAAGTAAGGAAGAGACCTTGGGTGGTGATCAAGAATTGGAAATTGGGGATACATCAAAATTTGACTATTATTACTTTAATTTATTTCTTAGCTTAATTTGTTTTAATGCAAAACATATTTTCTTCATGTGTATTGCTTAAACTCTTTTGCTCTCTTAGGTTGGAATTCTTTGAAACTTGAGGAATAAATGTCAGACATTCAAAAATTTTATATGATTTTAAGTTATTATTTATACTTCCAAACTTAATTCACATTCAAATCTATCATTTAGATTGTTCAAACTTGTTTTAATTTAGGACTCTCGAAAGAAGACTAGAAACACAATTAAGTTAAAATACAAGAGTTTAGTAGAATAGGAATATTACTAGTATATCCGTGCAGACTTAAAAGAGAATGTGGATGTTTGGAAATTCTTGCAAGATTAGGAAAACTAATGCTTTTCATATATTAGAAAAGAATAAGAAAAAATAGGCTCCATTTGACAACCGGAGAAGAAAATTTTCTCGGAAGAATGAAGAATTTTTTGAACCAATTCAAGGACTTCATTTCAAACCTAGTAAAAACTTTGGTCACTTAGCGTTCATATTATTTTTTTTAATTTTTTTTCTAGATGCTTTCAAAAATCTCACAAACTTTTGTTATTTTGAACTAAACATTGAATTAGAATACTAGTAATTTGACTATCTAAGAATTAACTCATTTTTTGTGGGATCAAGATATAGACTCATAATCCAAATACTATTTGGCCAATACTCATACTTGTGTAATTAAAAGGCGTGCTTCATCACACTAGGGATCATTAAGTCACTGACTAAATTATAGAAATTCATCAACTTGTAATTGATGAAGTTGCTAACTTATAAAGTTATTGAATTGAGAAAAGAATGCTAGTTGCATTATAAATTAATAATAGTAAAAGGCTCAAGTATTGTTTGCTTTAACTCAAAATTCATTATTGAGAGCTTCAATAATGTTGGTCCCTAACCTACTGTTATCATGCAACATATTACCAAACTTACATGCTTCCTAATATTTATAATCAATTTGTAATTACTCTTATTCCTCGACAGCTTCATGTTGATACTTTTTTTTTTACTTCAAATCTATAATATTATTTAATATATTTTGTAAATTTATTGCACCATTATTAGATAATAAACCTAAGATTTTCCTTCCCACTACCATCCAGCTTACGACTTATCATCCATCATACGAAATATAATTTTATCAAATGTAGGAGCATTACAGGTAAAATAAATCCTTAATTTAGTTGCTAACTTTATTATAGGAATTTATTGAATTGTGAGTAGACGAAGTTGCTGATTTGCAAAAAGTTATTCATTGACTTCATTAAAAATGTTGGTTAACTACTCTTAAGATGTGTTTCTTTTCATTAATAATAAAAAAACCCTTCAACTCTTGATGACTTAAACTCAAAGTCCGTTATTGACAGTTGTGCTAACGTTGG